GATGAGGCTGACCGGATGCTGGACATGGGGTTTGAACCACAAATAAGGAAGATTGTGAAGGAGATACCTGCTCGTCGCCAGACCCTAATGTATACAGCAACTTGGCCAAAGGAGGTTCGGAAGATTGCAGCTGATCTGCTGGTCAAACCTGTTCAGGTTAACATTGGCAATGTTGATGAACTGGTTGCGAATAAGTCTATCACACAGGTACGTTAACTCCAGCAATGCTGTCCATGTTTTAGTCCATAGTATGTTGGTTTATCATGTGCATGTTTCCTTATATGTTAGGATATCACTCTAGGTGAACACGGTGATCAATTAAGAGTTCTAAAGAGGATAAAAATTATTTACATATTTGTTCCCTCTACCCAGTGTGGAGGACTTAACTATCAATTTTTTGTATGATTTATGTTTTGTATAGTCTTTAAATTGGCATACAGCTTAACAAAAAATCTTATCCTGTCTTACAGTATGTTGAAGTACTGACGTCAATGGAGAAGCACAGACGACTGGAGCAGCTTTTGCGATCTCAAGAGCCAGGATCGAAGATAATAATCTTTTGTTCAACCAAGAAGATGTGCGATCAACTTTCTCGCAACCTAACCCGCCAGTTTGGAGCTGCTGCAATTCATGGCGACAAATCTCAGAGTGAGAGGGATTATGTGTTGAATCAATTTCGCTCTGGAAGGACTCCAATTCTTGTAGCAACTGATGTTGCAGCTCGAGGATTGGACATCAAGGACATAAGGTTTTGTACTTCCTAGCTTATTGTCACATATTTGTTCTGTTAGAATTGAAATATATGTTGGTTCTGTGGTTTGGTGAATCACCCGTCTTTCTTTCAAATATAAGGTTTTTAGTCAAGTGGCAAGAGCAGGCAACAATTCAATTGAATTATGTGGATCCTTATTATTTTGTGGTGTTCCTTTCTGATACGAGGATTGTGTTTGTCAGGGTCATTTTAAGAACGAGTAGTTAGTTTTTGTTTTTGTTTGGCTATCTATTTAAGCAAAGTTTCCTGTGGTGTTCCTTTCTGATAGGAGGATTGTATTTGTCGTGGTAATTTTTGTTACAGGGTGGTTATCAACTACGACTTCCCTACTGGAGTAGAGGATTATGTTCACAGGATTGGGAGAACTGGAAGAGCGGGCGCCACTGGCCTGGCTTACACATTTTTCGGTGATCAGGATGCCAAGTATGCATCAGATCTCATCAAAGTTTTGGAAGGGGCTAATCAGCGTGTCCCCCCAGAAGTTCGTGAGCTAGCTTCCCGTGGTGGAGGGATGAACCGGTTCAGACGTTGGGGTTCTGGGCCCAGTGGTGGTCGTGATGGGGGTCGTGGTGGGCGAAATGATTCAAGTTATGGAGGAAGGGATGGTGGAAGGGGAGGAGGATATGGATTTACTCCCTCTTCTGGCAGGTATGGTCAAATAATTACAGTTAAATTCAGGCTGTTTAATTACATTTCTTGCTCGTTATGTCAGATGTGCTAAACATGCGATGTTAGTACTTTGAGAAGTGATGGTTGGAAATGCATTTTCTTGTATGTGACAGGTATGGTCAAACCAATGGGTATGACAGAGGCCGCAGTCCCAGCCCTGTCAAGGCGTCAGGATATAGAGCCCGTAGCCGTAGTCCTGAGAGGTTTGCCAAGGCTCTGCCAACAGGTGGAGGCTCTGCTGGTGGTTGGAGTTTCCACAAATCAATGATGGAACGGGAGAGGGAGAGGACACGGTCGTCGCCTCCACGTAAACGCAGTGCTGAGGAAGCTGAGGAGGGCATGATACATCCAGAGTAATTTCACACATCTAGCACCATCTGCTCTGGTGCTGTCGTTTGTTTTTGATGTACCCTTGCTGAACCTCCTCTCTCTCTCTCTCTCTCTCTCTCTCTCTCTCTCTCCTGGTCTCCATTTTTGGTCCTTCGATTTTTGGAAAAAAAGAAGGGAACAAATATGCAGCAGATTAATATTACTGGTTTTTTAGTTAATATTTTTACGTGTAATCAATTTGTAGTTTCTATGAAATGCAGATGAATTAATTATAGTAATCATTCGCACGTTTATTATCTAAATCTAATTCATTGTTTACATTTTGACATATTTGGCATATGACTTCTTTTGAGAGCAAATTGGACGGAAATTCACTTTTTTTTTTAGTTTTGGAGAAATTTTTCAGTACATCGGAATACGGTTTGGTTCACCAAGTGTCATAATATAAGTGATTGGAAATCTTTTTGTAAGTATTCAATCACTTTTATTACGACACTTGATATACCAGGCCATGTTCCAGCACAATGGAAAATCTTTAAATTTTGGGTGACCTACAAGTTTAGGGGTAAATTGATGGCTTAGCGTTTAAGCAATTACGTAATTCGACATTTGCTTCACCTTCAATTGAAAATTGGAAACAGATTCGGTTATGTGGGAAATTAAACCAACACAGATTCCTCCCAACAGGGGAACAAATGATGTACTTATGTGGTTGCTTGACTGGTTTAGTTCTTAGACTGTTGACATTAGGGTGAGGTCAGGCAAAGTAAAAGGCGGCAGACTAGGAAAAATTACGTCCTCTCTATGAAAGAAATTTTGGTAAGGTTGCATGACTAGTGAAGTTCGGATACTGCGTAAGTTGCGTAGAGTTGGGTGAAGTAAAACATAAGGCATTTTATGCTTTGTTTTTGTCAGAGATGTTTACAGATAACGTGGTCAGACATTCCTACTCATGTTTTCCACCTCTTTGTGGTGAGGCCAAAGTTCTTATATTTCACCTTTTGTTTACTTTTTATGTTAGTAAATACTAAACCTTCCCGGTTTCGACAACGACAAGTATTTTTAAGTCTAAACAAATCGCAACTAAAATGCTTGTTAAATTTCAGGTGGACGGTAAAATATTGCTTTATCTATTTCAGCGGTTAAAGAGACAAAAGGTACTGAATTGGGGCATGTTTGTCATGCCCAATACTGCGGAAAAATAAAGCTAATATAATTGATTTTTTTAATTTATTTACTATGCCATTTTTACTAAAAATAAAGCACATTAAAATTAAAATTAATTATTGCTAAAACACAGCCCTCACGATAAGAAGTGTAATAAGTGACCACTTATTTTTAGAGCTAATAAAATTCCCCAAATTCAATGTTATTGAGAGATTTTTCAATGTACCGGGAACATCACCCTGTATACCAAGTGTAATGATACAATTGGTTGAAAATTTAAAAAAAAAAAATCCAACTAATTATATTATGATTCTTGATGCACTGGAATGTGTTTCCGACACATTGAATTTTATTTCTAATGGAGTGTGGAATGAAAATAATATTTTTTTAAGTGACTAAATCAAGAAAATAAATAAATAACTAATATAGTCAAATAGTTTTATGCTAGAGAATGGCCTTTAACAATGTGGCAATTGCTTCGTAACGGTAGAAAAAATAAAATCCAATGCAAAATTTTTGGTAATACCTTAAATATTATAAAAATAAATATATATCCATTAAATTAGATACCAATTTAGGAGGATGCATTCAAAACTTCAGTTACAAAAAAGAAAGTGCATTGGATGGCTTGAGACAAAAATATTGTTACAAAACCCAGCTGAAAATTACTTCATTGCCCAAATACTTAGTTTATATTTTTCTTATTATTTTATGAGTCCAATTATTACAAAACTATTTTAGTTTTTTTTTAAATGGTAAGTTTCGGATATGGATGTTTTTAACTATGAGATTCAAGTACTTGAGCCTTACAGAATGCATGTATGGTCAATATTTGAGCCAATTAAAATTATGCCAAAGCAATTGATTTCCATATATACTTGTTATGAACACCTTCCAAATATGCATTTACAATTAATATGCGTGACTTAGATAAGCTAGATGAGGTGAAAAAAAATGAGAAATGCTTAGGGGACTCTCTCAAAAGTTGGACTCTTCATAGACTCTCTGTCACCTCATAGTTTAACATTAATTCTTATACTTATGTTATAAAATATTATAAAAAAAACATAAGGTGGCAGAGAGTCCATAGAGAGCCCCTTATCATTTCTCAAAAAAGATAAGAATGAAAAAAATCATTTGATAGTAAAATTATTTGGGTGGTCTTTAAGATAATTTCTTGGCTACCACTTTCTTCACTTGTAAGTTAGAGATCTTATGTTCGGTTTTCGTCAAAAGCAAAGTTGAACCACATTATTATGACTGATCCAATGTGAGGTTTAGCCTACTCTCCCATCCCCCTTAGTATATGCTATCGTTTGTTAAAAAGAAAAAAAAAAAGATAATTCCTTGGCTCCTAGCTAGCTACTTGACTCTTTCATAATTAAAATGCAGCTTTTAAGGCTACAATTTATTTAAAGGGGGCTGGAAATATGTTTTTTCTTAATTGGAAAATGCAAAAACAAATGTCATTTATGCAAAAGTGATTTAATGGGAGGCGCTTGTCTCTTAGGTATACAATTAGATTTTCGGTGTTATTTTGAGGGTATTTCTAATTGGCATTTATCGTTGGATTTGCCATCAACGACAGTAGTTTTATAAAAACTAAATACACTGTAAAACACACTATTTTGAATATGATATGCCACGTCATAAAACAGAACCATGAGCAATACATGTCCACCACGTGTCACAAACCTGTCAAAGAATTTCCCTAAAATACAAGACCAGTCTAACGACCTAATGATTATTCCTTATATATGTTTTATGTTATATTTATAAAAAAAAAAAAAAATCAATTTTTTGTTTCAAAAAAATTAGAAAAAACTATTGGTAGGGAAGTTCAATGGACACAGACTGGAAGAAATGTGAGCCCTTGGATGGTAAAGATGGCCCTACAATGCTAGAGAGGCAGTGGGGTCCGCATCGCATTTGCTCTTGCTCTCCCTCAAACCTCACTAATAAAAAACCAAGAATTAGAGCAGCTAGCGCACATTAAACCAGCCTTCCTTCTTGAGCTTTTGTTTCTCTCTCTAGAGCTCTGAAACTCTCTCTCTGTGCTTGCATGGACTACTTGGAAACCAACTTGAGAGAATTAGATAATTTTCCTTTCCTTTCCACCCTTCTCTCCGGTTCTTCAAACCCTCTGAAATTGATGAAACCAGAGAATCCACCTCCTTCCACCACCACCATCAATGGGAATATTTATTCTGTCTCTAGATCTTCCCCACCACCACCCAATTCTCCCAAGGCTTTGTTTCATCACCCCAATTCCACCATTCACGGGTTTAACTGGAATTCTCATTCCCATGAGTACAATCCCACTCCAAAGATAAATCATTTCACCACCACTGAGGCCGGTTCTTCATCCAACCCTTTCAGCAAGATTTCAACCACATGCAACACCCTTAATAATCCCCTTGAGCCTTCACCTTATACCCCAAATCATCACCACCATGATTTCGTGACATCCGATTGTAGAGAAAGCGAATCCGGGGTAATGCATGGATTTCATGGTGGTGTTAGAGGTTTTTTGGGTTATCAACCCCATCATCAAAAAATTCTTCATGACCAGCAGATGGGGGCACAGAGCTGTGTGCAGCTCCCACAACTGGTCAATTATGGTGAATTTGGGTCCTCATCAGTTCCGGCGATTCGTTTGCCTTCGGATGATATGTCATCCAACTCTATCATCGCAGAGATTGAGTTTGGGAGAAGATTCTCAGCTGATGAGAAGAACAAAAGGTTGTGTGCGAGAAGAGCCATTAAAATGCTTCAGAAGAAACCTGATATAATCAAGGGTCAATGGAGTCCCGAGGAAGACAGGTATTTTGTTTTTCTGCTTTTAGTCGATTATTTGGTTAATCAGAGTGTTGATTTATATTTTCTTCATGTATTTTTCTGAATTTGGAGGATATATGATATGCTTATCTTTATTTTTTTAATTATTAAGAGGTCAATTTTTTTTTTCTTTATGTTCTGTAAAAATTGGTAATTAACTCAGTTAAATCTATCTTTGCAGACACTTGGTGCAATTGGTTGGGCGGTTTGGAATCAAGAAGTGGTCTCAAATTGCAACTCAGCTGACAGGGAGAGTGGGAAAGCAATGTAGAGAAAGATGGCACAACCATCTGCGGCCTGACATTAGGGTTTCATCCTTTTCTCCCTAAATTCTTCACTATTTCACAAGCTTCATTAACATATAAATTACATACAACCATACATATAGCTCATTTTCATTCACTAAATTTTTGTTTCTCTTTGAAATAAAAAAACAAAAGATTTATGCAAATACATATAATTACTCATAATTTTGTTAATGTAGACAAAGATAAATAGCTAATACATATATGGCATTTGCATATATTTGGTTATATATTTATTAGAAAATACTGTAATTCTAATATTTTGACGCGTGTCGTAAAATATATAAAATTCATACACTACCTTATATGTCCGTTTATACGTTTTGTGGAGTTTTTATTGACGTTGTACTGTCTAGTATTTGTCAATATCTGCTTCACAATGCAAAAACATGCGTTTCAACCAGCGGTTAGGTTGGATTGCAGAATTTGAATTAGACTATAATAATTAACCATGACACGTTATGAATTTGCAAAGGAAAATGCTAGGTAGGTCATCTTTTTAGATCATATTTGTAAACCATGTAATGTGTCATCAATAGAAAATAGGTACGTTAATCAAATATTTAAATAATAATTCAATTATCAGTAACTACGTCATATGGTTTAAACATATAGCCTCCCTAGCATTATTCATTTTTGAAACAACCTATGTCAGGGTGGTTTATGCGTATATATCAGAATTCAAATTCATTTCGATTTTAATCAATAAATTATTAGGATCCGATTTAGACCAAAATCGGGTGAAAGTCGAACCCATTTCAAGACCTAAAATTTATTTACCTTTTTATTATAAGTCTGAATTTATATCAAATAAGTAAATTTAAAATGACTAAAATAATAAAAATATATGAATTATTATGCATTATTTATATAAATTTACTCTTCAATAAGTTACTCTTCTGTAAATATGTAGTGACTTTTGAAATTATGTAATTTGTAATGAAGTTTTTCAATCAAAAACCATTTATAATGAAGTTTAAATTCTGTAATTTACTTTTTCACATATATAAATGTTAATTATTATCATGATGAAAAAAAAAAGTATTAAGTTAATTCTGATTTGTAACAAATAATTGTTGCACCCTTTTTTCATTGCTTCCTCTCTGATTTGATGGTATTGAACTAAGGTTACAATGCATGCATGCATCTTGATTTTTCCTAGTTAAAACCCTAGAAGTATTGTAACCGGGAAAACAAAACCCTAGGACCATACATGAGCATAGGCAGTACGTGCATTGTTTTCTACTTGGACGTGCGTGTTAACAGAAAATTGACAGTTACAGATCAAATCTAGCTAGCTGGTGCATAACGTTGGTTTAAATTAATACAGTTGTTGTTTACCATATCAAATCAGCTTTTGAATTTTATATATTATCTTTTTGAAAGCATATATATTCAGTTATATGTATGTATGTATGTACTTATACAGTTATATAGAGTGCTTGAACGCAACTAATTAAATCTGTGTTGAAACTTGCAGAAAGAAATGTGGAGTGAGGAAGAGGACAAGATACTGATCGAAGCCCACAAGGAAATCGGGAATAGATGGTCAGAAATCGCCAAGATGTTGCCTGGAAGGACGGAGAACACAATTAAGAACCACTGGAATGCAACCAAGAGGAAGCAAAACTCAAAGAGGAAGAGCAACAAGCAGGACTCCAACATTAACAATTACAATGAGAACTCCATCTTGCAGGACTACATCAGGAGCTTGGTCGGTACTACTGCTACTGATACTACTGCTTCCCCTAACTCTACCGGAACAACGGAGAACAAAGCCGGGCTGTCGTCTGTGGTCTCACCTGATCATCAGTCTGGGATACACATTGATCAGAATAACATTGTCGAGAGCCCAGACGCGACCAACTCTGCGAATTGGGATCTCATGGGTTATCGTCCCGAACCTATTGACAGTGAGGCGTCCAACATGAACAACTACATGTGTTGGTGTTAATCTTTCTGATTTCGACAAGATTAACATGTTCAATGTTTTTGAAAGTTATGGGCTTGGTGGATACCTGCAGCAGGGAATGGCGAGCAGCAGCACTTCTAGGGTTAAGGATCTGAGCTGCAACATGGAGTATGAACTGCCATTTTTGCCACTGGAGACGAACAACTTTATGCAGGGACATGATAACCATGTCAAGAAAGAGCTGGATATTATGGAGATGCTCCATTTCAAGGGAAAGGTGTGAGCTTTCGACTTTCGTGCAGCTGCAGGAAGTGCTTTGTCGTCGGTGTTCCCCTAGCTATTTCGTATGTTTGTCATTCTGTTGTTGTTTTTGTGCGTCATTAGGCTTTCATGTTTAGAAGCGTTCAGACTTTTATTTCCTTTCAGCATTTTCATTTGGAAAGTTTAACTGGAACACAGTTGTTGATGTTGTTTTCAAACTTAAATTCAGTTTAGTTTTGTTTATGCATATTTGTCCAAATTTGCTATTTATTTATTTATAGAGGTTTTATAGGTTGCGGTTAACTGCACTTAAAGAAAATGTGAATATGTGGTCAATATGCCATTTATATACGCCGTGGTCGATATTGTTACAATTGTTGATAGGGGTGTGCTATCCACACATCCATTTTTACTTCTTACACACCCTTTGTTAATTTATGTCCGTTGATCTTCTTCAATTCATCCAATCCGACGGCAAAAAATTAAAAGGATGTGTGAGAAGTAAAAATGGGTGTGTGGATATCACACCCCTTGTTGATATTGATGTTATGTTAAAATATAGTCATTTGCTAACTATAATCTATGTAGGAGGTTTTATATTTAGCTAGAAATTCATGTGATGGATTTCTGAAGTCACGTAAACTTAAAGTGCCTAGAAAGAAAGTAAGCAATATGCATAAATGGAGATCTTGCTTATGCCATGTTGGTCGTACTAGGATCCCGCATCGCTAATAGAGTTATTAAGCCATTGTGGAAACCCTAATGTATAACGCTTCAATTTTTTGTGGATAGAGACAAGTATGCAAACTTTGGTAAAAGGATAGAAAATTAAATGGGGTGGGGCTATGCATACACTTTTTTATACCTCTCACACATTCTTTGTTAATTTAGATCATTTGTTTCTCTTCAATTTCCGACGGTCGAAAATTAAGATACAGGTGGAAGGTAAAAATGGATGTGTGCATAGCACCACCCTTAAAATGGAAGAGATTTCTGCACTCTTTCTTTCACCTTCTTCACACCTCTTAATTCAAGCCTTTGATTTATTTTATTTTTCAATTTAGTGGCTAAAAAGAGGATGGGGAGGAAGACATGCAGTAGATGGAGAGGAGTATGCAGAAACCATTTCCTAAGCAAGAACCGTATAGGAGTCTCACTAGCTAGATGTTTTGATGCAAACCGCTATATCTAGATGATCTTGTAGCTGGGTTTTGGGTTTCAAATTATCAATGGCAACTCACGTAATAATCATTGTGCTCATAAACGCTTTGCTAGAACCGCATCTATTAAGACCCAGTTGAAATTATAATTAACAGAAAGCACTTTTAGCATTTTTATAAGCAGTCTGAACAGACCTTGAGGTGCTTTTAGCTTAATTGGTTAACAATGTTCTCTATCAATAATATAAAAGTTATTTTGGAGGCAGCAAATATATCTTTGCATACAATATGATGAGAATATATAGATCATAGAACTAATCTTTACAGTTGATGAGATGATTTTCTTTTTTGCTTCATATATATAATATATATTTACAATTCATGCACGCAACACTAACTGGGCTTTGGCTTTGTTCTCTTGGCTCTTGAATACAAGAACACTCCAGCAAGAGCAATAGCAGTCCCTGCAATATAACCCCCGTCATTGTTAGTCAAGGAACTCTGCAAGCCATGTGTAAGAATATGTCATATATGTAAATATACAAGGAACTCACCGAGGGAGTTTATCGGTGAGACGGGTGTTTGGAAGAAGATGACTGAGGAGACTATCACCACCACACGCTTCACACAGTTCCCGACTGCGTGAGTCACCGGTGAAACCATCTGCAGTATCATATAGGACACCTGCATCCCACACAACTTTGCAAATTAACCAAGCAATTATATATAAGAAGTGGACGGTAATATTTGTCCTACATTTGGTATGGCTACACATATATCCTACATTACTGATCATTTCTAACAAAGGGGAAGTCATGTTTAAGTGGATTTTGTTATTCCGTAAGAGATCGAAAAATTCACCAAAGCGTGCGATTAAGCCAAAACCGTTGGTACACTACTACTACTTAAATGTTTTAGTATAAGAAACACGTAACTTCAATTTCGGTTTAATTTAGAGAGAGTGTGAAACTATATATGTTGTCACCTGCTGGTAAGTGTGGAAGCAGAAGCCAGCCAGAAGTGATCTCACGCATAACTCTTTGATGTTCAATCCTTGGTTTGCCTGGCGTACAATATATAATTATTAAAAATAATGTGTACAGAAAAGCTAGCGGCGTTAGGAACCACGTTTAACTGCATTTTCATGAAGCACTTCTAGGAAAAGCTCTTATAAGCGTAAGTAACTCGTACAAAAGTAGTCCCAAACGGGTTTTAATAGTATTAGTACTCACAGCAGACTGCAGGTATGCAGGAGTAAATTTAACGCCTTCCAAGAGGATTGCCGAAGGAACCAACAGGATGAAGGAAATGATAGTTATCACTGAGAAGAGATTGATATTGTCCAAAGATTCCTAATTACAAAACAAAACTATTAAACCTCATGAAGGAATTCTGCAAATAAAGAAATTGCAGCTGTAGGTTAATTAGTTTTACCTCTTTCTTAACCATGAACTTCTTGCTGAGTACATTACGTGATTGGTTCGTAACATTAGAGGCCATTGCACTACCAAAACCAATCCTGTTGTCGAACATACAATAGTTAAACACTGTAAATTTGTAATTCAAGAAAAAGAGGAATTCGGCAGTGACAACGCGCTATATATCCAAGATATATACATTTAGAACTTGTTCCTTTTAGAAGACTGTAATCCAAGAAGCTGCATATAAATTTGATTCGTGCATAAATTTGTCTTCCGGGATGTCTTACCAGTTAAAAGAGGCCTCGGTGAAGGATACCAATGCCACTCCGCCTACAATTGGTACAAGAGAAGCAACAACCCAAATATTCGGCATCTGTGTGCACAGCAATCAGCATGATAAAAAAAACTGATAGTCAAATCGCTACCTCAGATTTGCAACCGCCTTCTAAAGGTTAAATCACAAGTAGGAAGAAAGAAGAACATGAAAGTTTCTTACCTCCGCAAGCAAAAGAGCAGAGAATACAACTGTGAAGAACGGCTCCATAGCTTTGATTGTGTGAGTGAAAGAAACAGCAACTTTCCCAAGACTAACGTTAGTCAATAAGTTCCCCATTGTGTGTGCCACTGCCAGTGGAAGAATTGCTGCAAGCTGCCATCCAAGTCGAAAGATTTCAAAGAGACGCAGTAGTAGTGTACTACTAATCACACCAGCATTATCCCAACTTGTATTTAACCACGTACTAGTTCGTGTTATACAAAAAGTCTCGGTGCTATTAGTAATGAAACCACGTAGTATTCTAATCCGTTGGACATGGGACTTTACATTCGAGCAATTATAGGGAATAAGTAGGTACCTGTGAGCGAGTGAGTTTTGGTCTGGGGTGGAGGTTAAGAGCCCACATCAGGATAATCATCACAGTCCCGCAGCCGAACTGAAACGCTGTGACCGTTGCTGGAAATGGATAGACTTTCAGAACCTATGAACAAGCTCTGGCCTTCAAATTCTAGCTTCTTTTATTAGGCCAAAATCGACGAAAACAAGAAGCGAAAACATGCATTTCAAAACAAGAAAAGACAATTAAAAACATGGGGAGGGCAGATGAATAAAGACAGTGAACGCACCTGTTTGTTGTAGATGTTGAAGTAAATATTCAAAAGGTACCAAATTCCAAACATTGAACCAAGCTGAAAGGTCTTAACCAGCTCGCTCTGTTTCGAGGCCTCGTCAGCACTCCCGGGAACAGAAGCAGCCCTGACCTTCAAATGATCATATCTGTGATTTGAGAAAAGGAAGGAAGCATTGGAAGAAGAAAACGTGTAAAGAGGTGTTTGCCATGAAAGCCTGTGAACTTTAGTCAAACTGTCTTGTATCAAGGACGTCAAGGTTGAAAGCTGAGTGGCTTTAGGGATAGATTTTCGACCCGGAGGTTTGAGAAACGAGGTGGAAGGAGCCAGAGCAAGCGCAGTGCTCTGCATCTTGACCAGAAGGTTTGGAATTTGGGAAGCAAAGCAAGTGAAGAAAGAAGCTCAGGCCGCTAAAGGCTTTTAAGCCTTTGCATGAATACAAAACTGAAGGATGACGGCGGCTATGGGGGAGTAGACCAACTTCTTACAAGTCTGTATAAGATTACTTAACTTTCCGGTGAGGATCCCGCATCCTCACCAGCATCAGAAATCGAAAGGCGTCGAGTGAGATCTAGTTGTTTCGGGGTTTTGTAAGCTAGTACTGAATGGTGCTTAGTTAGTAGTGGAACGAATGGATTGCAATCCTGTGTACTACATTTGCTGAGGCAAACATGTGGCCTTCAGCACTTCAATTTTGAGGCTGATTTCTTTTCCCTTCTGATACACCAAAAAATCCCAAACACTAATTTTCAAAATATTGACAACGACTAGGATACTGAATCAAAAGAAATTGGTCTAGAAACGTCCATGATTGAAGTTGAGAAAACGATCGAACGCAAAAAATGGACAATGCATTTCTCCATTAAATTTTTTCTAAATTTCCGAATCAGCGGAATAATTCACGTTGCAGAAACAGCAAAAACGAAACCTCATCCCAACTATTTGGAACCAGGCTGTGTGTCTATAACTAGATTACAATTGCATACTTTATGAGAGGCATTTGAGTCTTGCAAATGTCAAATAGCCGGTGTGGCCTCTGGTCTCACTGCACGGCCTGGCCATGACCGTGGGAGATCCTGTAGTTTCCTGCGCATTGCTTCCTTCACTTGATCGCTGCCGCCTTTTACGTGGATGAGATCCAACGGAACCAGCTTCATCTCCCTGGAAGTCATCCAATTTCCATTCTCGAACTTCATATGTGCGAAGGAGAATCTCAAACGTCCTTATATCTATGCACAAGCAGAAGATACAGATCTTAGTGTGAGTACATTTGTGAGAGAAAACACTCGAAAGAAGCAAAGCAAGTCCAAAAAATTCCACATCATAAAGCATGAAAGGAGATAACTGAATCAAAAGGCCCTACCCGTAAAGCTTGACCTCATAGTCTCTGATGCTCGTTGCACCTGCTCAATACACGGGGAGAAGGAGCATAATACCCCATCTTGCTTCAACATTTTCGCAGCTGAAGGGATGGCCAGCCAGGGTTGGGGTAGGTCCAGGAAGACAGAATCTGCCCTTCCAGAAAAATCATCCGGAAACCCTTCACCCTGAATATCTCTAACTCCTACAGTGATCACGTTGCTTAATCCCGTCTTCTCAAAATCCTCCCTATAAGAGTTAAACATCCTGTTAGTCTTTCAATATGATATCACCTACTTGAAATAGAGGAAATAGCTTAATGTTAGTTCCGAAACCGCTGGTTTCATGGGGAAATTAAGCAGCTGATGCAATTACCTTTAGTTTGTACACGAAAGGGGACACCGAATCAAATAGAAACCAATTTAAACCAAATTCTTAAGAAACAACGAAAGTAATCACTCGCTTATCTCACAATTCATTAGCATATCACCCGATTCATCCACTTACCTCGCAACTCATATTCTAAACTAAAGGTTTTCATGTTCTGGAAGGCAAAACCATACACAAATCTTGTACACGAAAGGAAACACCGAAGTAAATAGAAACCATCATACACCAAAACCGTAAGAAACAACGAAAGCAAGGTGTTGATCTCGAGTTCTTACCTAGCAGAGACCGCGCGTTGTTCATGGAAATCAAACGTATAGACATGTCCTCTAGGAGCAACAGCCCTTGCAAGTGAAGTAGTCAAAGATCCACTCCCAGTCCCCGACTCGAGAACCAAACATCCCGGAACCAACTCCAAGAACATGATCACAAAGCTAATGTCCGCAATGTACAGAATCTGAGTCCTGTGGCTTAAAACCAAAGTCCAAAGCTCGGGTGTCGGAGCCAACAGGTAAACAAATCCGCCCTTGCTGCTGAAAACCTTGGAACCAAACTGCTTCCCTATCCAGTCCGAATGCTTAAACAAACCGAACCGGTTTTCGAGAACAGAACCGGCACACACTTTGACAGCTTTCATCGTATCATACTTCTCATAGACAATGACCAAATCTCCATCATTAATGGAGCGAGTAAAAGACAGCTTCTTTGTCGGATCGACAGGCAACATCCTTAATCCCGGTCTGAATATTTTAAATATAAATTCACATTCGTACGTATAAACAAATTTATTACAAATTAAAAAAAAATTAGCATCATAACAACTAAAAGGGCAGTCTTTAATCAAGCAACTAAAAGTGTGGCCGGGGCTTATGCATCCAAGTTCGAATTCCTACGCTGCAAATTAAAGTAGTTTAGAATATCGCCATGTCAAAAATAATAATAGAAAAAAGAAGTAGTTTAGAATATCGTCGTGTCCAAAATAATAACAGAAAAAAAAGATGATAATCAAAAAGTTAGACTGTGCTTACTTTTTCCAATCTAGCAGATGGTGATATGAAACCCCTCAAACAGTAGCTGAAGAAGAAGAAGAAGAACCGGAGCGGGAGGAGGACTGGGTTCACAGGAAGAACTGAGGAGGAAGAAGAAGAAAACGACGGAAGGAACCTGCGTTTCTGCTTTACAGGTTCAGTGAAGAAACGAAAGAGCCGAGAGGAGGAAGAAGGCGGGGGAGGAGGGTTGGATTCGTAGGTTTAGGGAGGACTGGGAAATTTGGGCCTTCTGTTGGGCTGGGCTGTAAGTTTTAGCCCATGAAACAAACAAAGTCGGGTGCTTTCTACCGAAGCATGTAGTGGATAGATCGTAGAGCCGAGTCAACCGACTTGAATTTTGGGGTCCGTATTCCCAATGAACATCATCGTCGTCACGCTTGGTATCAGCAGAGAGAAGTATTTTCTTGAATTTTTTTGTTTCTGGGTGTTAATGTCTGTTTGGTTGCCGAGAAAGTGCAGGAAAATTCTGAATTGGGTTGCAGCAGATTTTGCTGTTTGAGCATCTCAGCTTCCGCTCGGCAGCCAAACGAAACGACCCAAAAGCGAAAACCAAACTTTGAGCTCGTTGATTAATCCGTCTCTCGCTAATTAATCAGGTATGCTTGCTGCTTGCTGATATTTGCTGTTTCTTACATTGTTGTTAGTTCGTGCTTTGCTTTGACCAATCATATTTGTTTCAATATATTTTCTCTTGATATATGAGGTAATATTAGGAGAGGGTGAACATTTATGAGTTGATTTAATTTAAATTTCCGTAATTCTTATTGATTTATTAACATAGTCACGAAAAGCAGTGACTTTATTTGAAGATAGACCATGTTTCATCATGGTTGTAATTTCAATATGCAAAATCGCATAATCTCCGCAAGGGAATTGGAGCTCAAGTGATTAAGAGTATTTGTCCTTCCACTCGGGTCCTAAGCGATATCGCTTAATCTTCGTATGCATATTAATAGCAGTGTTAACTATTTAGCTTCCTCAGACCCTGGCAAAGCGGAGAGTCTTGTTGGCTTAGGGTCCCCCTTTATTCTCGTTACCACCTTTACAGTCATGTTTTATTAGCAATTTTTGGTTTTGTATACAATTCAAATTCGTGGATTCTTTCGTTTGACAATGTACCTTTTTTTTTTTTAAATACTACGAGACGATGCAGCAACCGAGAAATTTAGAAGTAACTCGTCGTTTGTCCTAGCAGGATGCAGCTAGAGGGTACTGCTGCTGATACTACTACCCTGAGCTATTGGTTGAACTGGCGAGTCTTGCTATGCGCAATTTGGGTGTTTGTGCCAATGGTTATAGCGTTACTAATGATATGGAAATATGATGGTAAAGACCATTCAAAATCTGACGGAAGAGATACTCAGCAGGACATAAGCCAGGATTTCTCTGGCGATGAAGCGTGGAGACCCTGCCTCAAAGAAATTCATCCCGTTTGGCTGCTGATTTACCGAGTTATTTCATTCTCTTTCCTTTTGGCAACGCTGATCATTAAAGTTGCTATCTCTGGCAGTCGCATATTTTACTTCTATACTCAGTAAGCCTCGTCTTATGTTTATGCTCATCTAGTGATATGTAGTGGATTCTAAATCTAAGGTCATCTAAAGATCCTGCACAACCGAAAGTTAAATGTGAAAACTCAAGCGGGTTTACAACTCAATTCGTCTCTTTCTTGAGCAGCGTAGGACACATTTGTTCAGTCATACATCAGGTTCCCGGGTAGTTAGGAAATGTTCTTTTTTATTATGCTTTCAACTCGAGGATGTAATGTTTTCTGTATGCTGAACAGGTGGACTTTTACCTTGGTTACCATCTACTTCGGGGTATGCTCTCTGATCTTCTTTTAGCCTTCTACTGAATCGCCTTAATGTTTTCGTTGAGATATCCAATGTCTGCGCATTTTATAATTGATGCAACCGTTAACAACTCTCCATAGACTAGGCTCTGAGATTTTGTTTGTTTTCTTTTCTCACTTTCGTCGTAGTTTGGATCTCTTCTCTCCATTTACGGGTGCTTCTGGTGCAAGAAAACAAGCAGCACGAGAACTCTAGGAGATTATGATCATGTCGGGACAGATGCAGAAAATGGAACATACATTCCCCTTGAAAATGAGGAGAAAGACTCAAGTCCCCAAGACGAAAGTTGTCTTCCCCGAGCAGCAGCCAATTGCAGTCGTGTCTTTGAAGCTATGTTCGAGGTCATATTTTCCTTTTGCCCAATGATCAATGCTTGCAAAAGCTTTGTTTGCCTCTTAAGTGCCTTATGTTTCCGTTTCATTCAATTTCGAATTTCAGATGAGTGCCGGGGCAGTGATGCTTACTGATTGCATCTATTGGCTCGTCATATTTCCGTTTTTCACCATCATAGATTACAAAATGAGTTTCGTAAGTACCACAAATTTCATATCCATCCTCTTACCACATATTTCGTAGCTTAAGGTTCATATGTTTTTGTTAACGTTCCGTTTATTTCAGCTGACGGTGGATATGCATTCAATCAACGCTGTTTTACTCCTCGGCGATGCAATGTTGAATTGCTTGGTATTTTTCTCATGGGCAAATTCTCTCACTTTGGACTTGTATATTTGAAAGTTTATTCCACGCTCCAACTTTTTCAAACTTCTGCAGCATCTCCCCTTTGTTCGGATATCTTACTTCATTTTATGGACCGGTGTCTTCGTCATTTTCCAGTGGACCGTCCACGCTTGCGTATCAGTACGGTAACGTTCGTTAACCCCTCCTTGTATACAACTCAGGAACTGGATGGAACTACTAATGTCATGGAAGAAGATTGTCAAATTTCACTTTGTTGCAGGTGGCCGTACCCGTTTCTTGACTTGTCATCGCCATATGCACCGTTGTGGTATGTTATCGCTACGCACTGTTATACCTCTCGGCATTACGCCCCGTTAATTAGGTCTTAACTTCATGTTTAGTCTAATAATGTACTGAATTTCAGGTACTTCTTGATGGGATTGATGCACATTCCCTGCTACGGTATCTTTGCCCTAATCGTGAAGTTAAAACATTACCTCTTGTCAAAATGGTTTCCCAACTCTTATCGATGTTAAGGACGAGGTTTGGTGTAACCGGAAATACAGACGGTGACTTCCCGGGTAACGAAAAACTCACGTCCGGTGATTTGAAGAATCAACCAATTATCAAGAAAACTCAAGCACACATGTATCCGAATCGAAATATGAAAACACTAACGGAGATTATACAAATTCAAGTTGAATGTGCGTTACGTTCGGAAATTGTTAAAGCACATAACTGAAATTATTCTGCTTTACTACTAATCATCCATTATTTTAAGTAGAAGTTTTGGCAACGGCTCCGGCTTGAGTAAGCAGAGGGAACAGTTTACCTTCCTTGTGCAATGCCGTTGTTTCTGCACGACGACATCAAATGGTATTATTCCAACAGCCATGGTTAAGGAGAGATTTTGCTCTGTAATCGGGATATATCTTCGGTTGTATCTAAGAATCTATTGCAGTTGAGGGATTCGAAATCTTACTGTCGCATCCACCGATGTGGTTTCCACTAATGAAAACATTGGGCACAGTCCGCTGGCCAGTCCACTCTGCCAGAGCTGATTGTATCTGAGCTCCGTCACCTTCAAAACGGAGGAACAATACCGGCATCAATAAAACTCGGACAAAATCTATACTCTGAAAAATAACACATACTGCACAAGATGGAAAAGGAAGATGTCTATCTCATTTTACAAAATATAACGGGAGCTGCTATCGGCAATTTGACACTTCAAAAAAGTCATCGCGCACAACATCGCAAGTCCTACAGTTAAAAGCTTGAGGCCTAATTTACCAATTAATTGACCTAATCACCACTTTGCTAGTCAATTGTCTCTAGCCAAATAGTAAATATTTCCGGCTTTTTTTAGTCAAGCGATTTTCTAATCTAGTCTAAACTACGGGAGGGGAAATAGGGTGCCAAATAGTCCCATTAAACGTGAAGAATATGGAACTCATAAAAACACCAATTTCCAGTTAACAATTTGACTTCTTCCAACAATACATTTGTGAGGAAGCTCAAAAGCAAACTTTACATCCAATAAAGATTTCGCAGTAGCGAGTGGATTTGGATCCTCACCGGATCGCCTGGGGATCTTAGAGATCAATGCACGTGGACCGTTGATAAAAAATTATGCGACCATAAATTTTTCCTTTTTTTTTTTTATTTTTTACGCAAAACGAAGCTGCTTTACTTTAAAAAATATAAAAAGCATTTAATTGGGACCACACAATTTTTTATTAACGATCCACGTGCGTTGATCCTATAATTCAGAGAGGGGATTCAGCGAGGATCCAAATCCGTTGCGAGTTTCAAGTTTTGACCGGTTATCGTATGTAATTAGCAAACAAAAGTAAATTCACACCGTAATCAACTATCGAAAGATACCCAATTCTTTCCAACTTTCTCTTTTTGGAATGGAATTTTACGCAATCCCTATGAATAGGATCAAACATTATTCCATGGTATTTAAATGATATTCCTCTTTCGTATTCTTAAACAAATCTTAAACAAGTCCCGGAGAGGGCTTAGTTGATTCACGATTTATGTTTCGTCTTTCATTTCCTTTTTTGTTTGTTTCAAGAAATATATCGATCAATTCCGATTCTTTCTTTTATATTGATTCTTTTCATGTGCATACATACATACATACATACATACATACACATGGATTGGATACAAACAATACGTAAATACAGATAAAATAGTGAGAGGGGAAGTGAAACTGACTTTCAGAGTCCAACTCAATTGCCTTGTAGGATGCTCCCAATTGAGTCAAGAGCTGCTTCACGTTCACGCAGAACGGGCAATGCGTCTTGCTGCAATTACAGATCCATATACATACACACACACAATTAGCATTTCTTAAATACGAGATTAATTAATCAATAATCGTGATTAATTTCCGACGAGAAAAATCAAGAACCTGAAGACGACGACCGAATTGGTCGACACGAGCTCCTTCGCCTTCGTCAATGCCATAACGCTCTCTCAATTCACAACTCGCAAACCCTAAAATTCTGAATTTCCTCACAATTTTCTTCTCTCGGCTCTCTCTCTCTCTCTGAAAAATTGCTGACAGCGTATGTGCAAGTATCAAGTATATGTAGTTGGGAGTTTGACCAAAAGAAGGGGGCAAAAAAGGTATGTGCTTTTGGGAGGTGCCACGTCTGTCTTCTATTTTTCTAGGGATCTTTTTATATACATCCAAATAACTAAAAATTGGACATATTTCAAAAGTTAAAAATCACTAAAAATTAGACCTATTTCAAAAGTAGGCCTATAAAATTAGACCTATTTCAAATTTTTCCATTTTTTTATTAGTTCTTGCGGGCGGACCTGACTTCTGCTCTCCTAATTCCCATACACTCTCATCCCCTTCTATTTGTGCCGTCACGGTTAAGTCACGTCAACATTTTATATCACTATTGTTTTTTGTCTTATTATCTCTATAAAAAAAAATCAATATAAAATGTTGACGTGGTTTAACCGTGACCGCACAAAATAAGAGGGATGAGAGTGTATGGGAAGTGGGAGGGCAGAGAAACCGGGTCCCTTGTGAGCCGTGATGGGCTGTATTTTTTTTAGTGTTTTAACGGAACATTTTCGGTACTGTTCACTTTAACGAAAAATGATATTTGTCTCTAAAAAATTACTCCTCTTACTATTCACTTCCAACATCTTTTTATCCTTTTGATTAAAACTCAAAGTTTTCAAACATTTTTCATCAGTCTTCTTTGTTTCTGTGTGAGCCACAAGATTCGTTTCTAACGACTGAGGTTGATTGCTGCCCAAGATCATCAAGTTTTACCTTAAATCACTCTACCGACGTCTTGGCATCCGTCAATTTCCGTTTACGTGCCGAACCATCATGTTCATGGGATTGCGTAGTGTCGCACAAAATCAATCCTTATCTAGCTATTTCCCTCCAGATGTTTGTCGGCAATGAAAAGAACTTTCATGCAATCGGGATACTGTCAGATTGATATTTCGATATAGATAAGTTTTTCACGTGCACAACCTGACAACATTCTTGTTAGATCCAAATGAGAGTGTTTTTTCTTCTTTTTTTTACAAGAAGCGATGGTGATTTCATTAACAAACAAGAACATATACAAGGTTGTCTCATGGGTACATTTTTCAGTAATTAATTCAATGATTTGAGGATAATTTACACAAACGAGTATGAAATTAATTACACAAGCACACAATTTAAGATCCGCCACAAATACGGCAAACGATACGAACCTAAACTAAAAAAATGAGAGTTGAATGTTCACAAGGTAGGTACACCATGATTTTTTGTCATCAAGTCCAGCAACTAAAAAAATTGCAAAACAATCCCTAAAAATATTTGACCAAAACTAAAGTCAACTAGATGCATCACACATACAAATTTACGAACAACTTGCCTGAAAAAATAAATAAACTGCAAAAATTAAGATGACATATATTCAACTTAGTTTATTTATTTATTTTTTTTTACAAAAGGAAGACAACTGGTGGCAGACCACGGTTATCCAACCCTTCCGGAGGTCGGAAATATTGAACGAACTAAGAATTCTTGAACAGGTTCTCTTATTGCTACTGATGATCACCAGGCATACAAAGTATTTGAAAGATTTATAATTCTACTATATACCTCTGTGTATCTACTCCATGCAGAAATTTTAAATCTCTATTTCAATGTTTGATTATAACGAAAAAAATTTCCATGAACCGCACGGTCATAACCACAAAACTGCACAAATTCTCACCGAAGCAATTATCTTACATGCTCATCTTGTAGATTCACATCAACCTAGTTAAACCGCTGCAGGTTCCAGAAGCTTTTCCTCAACATTCTTGGCAACAGCGTCAATGAATTCTTCGGTGTTCAAGTAGTACTCCCTCGATACCCTGCAGGCAACGCAAGCATCTTAGTTTAGTCCCCCCCAATAACAATCCCGTTGGGCTAATGTAGTCACCATGAACAGATGACAGATAAAGCAGAGTCCTAAACAGCAAACTAAGGGAAAAAATCTAATTTATTCCATCGCTTTTGGACAGTGGCAATTCATCTTCCCTTTTTATTGCACAATCCAACCGAATGTAAGTAACCTCGTTAAACAGAGCCAAGAATCTACTTACTTGGGGCCATGGATCAAGAGGGCGAGATCCTTGGTCATTTTCCCACCCTCCACTGTCTCAATGCATGCAGCCTCCAACTTGCGAACAAAATCCAGCAACCTATCATTTTTATCTAATTTTGCCCTGGAAAGCACGTTGTCACATTTCATTAATCCGAAATGTAACCATAGTATACTAAGATACAGTGAAGTTTGGAAGTTTGGCTTGCAAACAGTACCTGTGTTCTAGGCCTCGTGTCCATGCAAATATTGAAGCAATACTATTTGTACTTGTTTCTTGTCCTTTCTGATGTAACCGAAAATGACGAGTTACTGTCCCATGAGCTGCTTCAGCTTCTATTGTCTTGCCATCTGAAGACAACTGCATACACTGTGGTTAGCTTTTGTAGCATAAAAATGAGGAAAGTTAATGGTGATACGTACCAACACAGAACTCATGAGGCCCAAAGAGCCAAATCCTGTAAAAACAAAAACAAACTATTTTACTCCAGAAAAAAAAAAGGGAGAGATAAATAGAGAGAGAGAGAGAGAGAGAGAGAGAGAGAAAGAGAGAGAGAGAAAGAGAGAGAGAGAGAGAGCAATTCAACAGCACCTTGAGCAAGCAAATCACTCATGACATCTCCATCATAATTTTTGCAAGCCCAAACATATCCACCCTCACTTTTGAGTGCATAAGCCACCATGTCATCTATTAGCCGATGTTCATACCTAAATGCCAAAAGAATCTTCAATTAGCAATTTCAAAATATGCGACACAACATTGGATGAATCAGTGTTTATGATAAACAATACAAACCATATAGAATTTTCTTCAAACTTCTGCTTCCACTTCTCGTCATAAACCTCCTCAAAAATGTCCTTAAACCTGTGGCAGTCCAGGAACTCAACATTTTTTATAATTTCTTTATAAGAAATAAATGATACAGAATTGATAGTTGAATGTTGACTAATTCTTCCAACAAAGGTAAATTTACCTGCCATCGTATTTCTTAAGAATAGTGTTTTTGGTGCTCAAGTATAGTGGCAACTTCTTGGAAAGAGCCAACGACATTGACGAGTCAGCAAAAGCTCGAATAGACTACCAAAGAAAACAAGGTTTTGTTAGCAGAGTTTGCTGATAAAGCACATTTGCCTAAATGCACAAAAAGGTATGTGATGCCCATTGTGGTAACACAAACCTCATCAACATTATACATAGAAAGGGCCACACCAGGCCCTTTGAAATTGTAAACATCAAGTTCAACGGGGGCATCTCCTCCTTCCGGGACTGAGCATTACAAACAGATAGATGTTAAGCAGAAAACGATATTCAAGGGAAATTACTTCACCAGCACAATCGTATGATCTAGAATGTTGAGATTTACTTACCAAACACCATTTTAAGTTTTCCTGGCCCTTTGATAACTGTATCAGTGGCTCGATACTGATCACCAAAGGCATGCCTACCAATACAGATGGGTTTCTTCCAACCTGTAAATTGGACACATATTGAGCACTTCCCACAACATTTTACTTACATTCAAGATTAGAAATGAGTTTGAGCCATTACCAGGAACTATTCTAGGGATGTTTTTACATAGGATAGGTTCACGGAAAACAGTACCTGTAAAAATAAAGCATTACGTTTCAAGTAGAAATTGTTCAAACAGTGCGTTAATCTTTCAGATGCTAACTTAAGTTGTAACTTATTAACGAAAATGTGTAACAAAACCACGAGTATTAAATTTTCTTTTGTATTAAAAGGAGACAACGTCTTAGATACAAACCGTCTAGAATGTTTCTAATTGTGCCGTTTGGACTCCTCCACATTGATTTCAACCCAAACTCCTTCACTCTGGTCTCATCTGCAAGGTATATGAGAAATTGAAATTAGATAAGACAACATTTAAACTACCTGGCAGAGCAGATAGATCATCTTACTGCTAAGAAAAGTATCGGAGCAGCCAGAATGTCTGTCGTAAAGGGTTCAACGTCCTCATGGTAATACATAAAAACAGCATTATACAAAAGCAAAAACAACTAACCAGGGGTTATTGTAGCACATTTCACAGCAACATTGTACCTGCAGTGACATAAAAGGCTAAAATCAAACAAACAGAAGAAGCAAATCCTAGCAATCCAAACGTAAGAAATACAAACACACTAAACAAATTCTGAATCAAACTACTGACTTAAGAGTGGCTTCAGCACTCTCTACTGTAACTCTGTCATCGGTCGCATCACGGTTCAAAATCCCTAAATCATAATACTTTATATCCAAGTCCAGATAGGGAAAAATAAGCTGCAGTAGCATACGAACAAAAAACTCGGATTAAATCAAATCAAATTCTATAACAAAAGCATCAGTAAACTGAAATTCACATCGAAATGAATCTTCACACTTTGTCTTTAATCGTTGTCCATATGATCCTCGCCATTTCATCACCTAATTGACAAAATAATACCATAATTAATACAGTACACAATCACAACATCAACAATTAAGCTCAAGAACAAGCATCATCCTACTCCTACAAGTTATGATCCGTTTGGTTGCTGCTAAAATTCATGAAAACATGAAACAACATAGAGGATTTTTACTGGCTCAAAAAAATAAAAATAAAAAGGATTTTTACACAAGTTTCCATTATCTTGTGATTTTAATTCTGTTCATTTTCTCAGTGCTTTCTCACTAACCAAACAGAGCATCGTTTAGGGAACTGACCGTCCATTTCGACAATCGGATTCTGAACCCGAACTTTATCGAAGCCAGCGGAAGAAGCGTAGCACCGCAGCGACGTGCTGCGGAAGCCAGCGGAGAACGAGACGCGGTTCCCGAGAGGCACTCCGTTAAAGAGCCTCGGGGACGAAGAGAAGGACAATCTAGGGTTTCTCATGGCCGCAGACGACGAAGCTGACGACGACAACGACATCATTGCAGCGCGCGACATGGCGCTCAATTGCGGCCGCGCTCTCCGC